CGTTCTCTACCCCATCTGACCTGGTCCAACACATGGGATGTACATGTACGTAGCTCGACACATTCCAACGGTGCCTGCCAACAAGTCACCTACCTCTTAGCATCCAGGGTTGCTCACCTCCATGGTTGCTCGCCGTCGGCACGAGGAGGGAAGGGGAGCGATACTGCATTACCGAGGACGCTGCTGCAGAATAGTGCTCTTGCCGCTTGCTTCTTCCTTCCTGCTGCTGCAAGCAGCCGAGTCCCTGCATCATGGCGCGCATCCAAATCATCAACTCGGCAGGTCTCGTTCCATGGCTCATAAAAGCCCGTGGAGCTGTTCCTGGAGAGGGCCCCAAGGGCCCGTTAGGCCCCCGTAATTAGATCGTCGGCCACCGTCGCAGGTTAGGAGATGTGGGCACAGATTTCCACAGATTTCTCGCAACTAGTCAGGGCCAAGGATGAAGTGCTAGCAAAACCAAGGCCGTTGTCGTGTTTGCGGGGTGAATGAGAACAGGCGTGGCTTTGCTAGGTTATCTAAGAGGCAAAGTCAGTCCAGCGCACACGGCGGTCAATCCAGATGATCGGGTTCTGTCACTGTCATCACTGTCAACAATGTGCACAAGCTTGACAAGCAATTAAGCTGGTCGTACTGACGACGGCAGGTGTATAGTGGTCATGGGTGCTGCCATTGTTGCCAGTATGGACCGACATGATCTCGTATTCATGTACGCCGCCTGGGAAGCTGGCGTGGCAGCCCCGTGTCAGTAGGTGGCTCCAACGTAACTTTTCTTTGCCATCGTGTAGGCGTCATTGTTGAACATTCGTCGCGGCTTTGGTGGCTTGCCATGACCAGACGTCGTGGGCAAAGACGACCACGCTCCAAGAGTGCTAAAAGGGTACCTTAAGCTCAGTTAGCAGGGTGGAGGTACTTGGGTACAGTGTGCTTGGGCAGGGTGCCTGGGTACAATCTTGGGTGCCAGCAAGGCCGGAAGGACGCCCAAGATACGAAACGTTGTACAGCGGCAACACGCGCTAAGTGGTGACTTCCCGGCACTGATCCGCCCCTGCAATCCGCCCTACCGCCCATGACGTGTGTGTGTGTGTGTGTGTGTGTGTGCGCGCCCGCCCTTGTTGTGTGGCCACCTCCCACCCGCCAGCACCATATTCCCTTTGCTGAGCTTGTGTCCGCCGTGACGCCTGTTTCGAGGGTCCAGCGCTTGGGGCATCATCTCCTCTTGCAACATTGGAAGGCAAGGGAGCCACCGTCATCCCTCCCAAACTTCAACGCCGCCCTCCCCTTGCTGCCACTCTTGGGTTCTTCATGCCCTACCGAGCCAACTTCGACTGTGCTGCTGCATCTGCACAACCTTGGAGCTTCTCCAGAACTCTATCAGCCTTTCGACAGCCGTCCATTTTGCACCGACCGATCGATCCCCGCAATCCTGCGCCGCGGCCCTGAGCCGCATCCAACATCGTCACGGAACCACACTGCATTATCCGGCACCGAATCGCCATCGCGTGCCCAGTGCCGCTGTCGACCTTTTTCGAGCTTCGAAGGTGTCCTGTCCCTTGCTCCGCTGTGCTCCCGCAGACGCATCATGTCCTCGGCATCGAGGAACTCCTACCTGCACCGCCGCAACGACAGCAATAGGGGGAACACTCTCAAGCGGGCTCCTTCGAGGTCGCAAACGCACGTCATCAGCCATGACGACGCCTACAGCTTCGCCCTCCGCATCGCCTACCTGAACTACCTCCTGCAACCCAAGACGAAGCGGAAGCAATGGGTTGCCGCGCCCAAGCCCATACACAAGGCGGGGCAACGTTCCCACACCGCCGTCGGCGACCTCATCAGTCAACTCAGCTCGCCTTCAGGCTCGTCCAAGATTACCATGCCCCACGGGTTTCGAAGCTCTCTCGAGAAGAGGCTCAGCCAGGTCGTCCAAGGCAGCTACCCAGTTCCCGGCTACAACGATGCAGCCGTCAAGAGGAGCTTCGCGCGAGCGTACACTGCTTTCACCGAGAAGGCCTTCCAAAAGCGAGCCGACGACGAAAGAAAGATCGATCCCTACATTCTCATGTTCTACTCCTCTGCCACCAAGGCCGCCAATGCGACCGCCGTGCAGGCCAACTCCTCGGAAGACCATGTCAAGATGCTGCCCGACCGCCATCTAGCCCTGTTTGTGCGCCTCGTATCGCACATGCTGCGGGACCAGGGCGTTGACCGTGACCGGCCAGAGCTGATGAAGAGACTCGATAGCCTGGAGAAGAAGCTGCTGACACATGACCAAAACCTTGCCGATGTCAATAATCAAAACGAAACAAAGATGATTGAGGTTATCGTGCCCCTGAGCTACGACGTGAAAGACATGCCTTTGGTTCTCTTGATTCAGCGGGTTTTCGGGCGTACCAAGACTGATGTGCAGTCAGACATTGATGCTCATCGACATGCGTGGACCGAAGAAGCGGCACTGAAGGACATCAAGGCGTACCAGCACCGACTCGCCTCGAATGCGCCAGGATCGTTGCGGAAACACGACTTCGACACTGACGAAGCCTATGAAGAGTGGAAGAAGGCCGAGGCGACTCACCTCTCGGAGATTTTGTTCAAGATTACGACTGCAAAGCCGGAACTGCTCAAAACTTCATCATCGAGCCTGGACAAGCCGCTTCCCGGAAGACCCATGTCGCTATACGGCGAGGATCAAGCGTACGGAGACCTCAGCCGGGCACTGTCGAACCCGGATTCGGCCACCTACGGATCTGACCCTTCTTCCATGATCAGCTTGAGCTCGCTTTCACTGGAAGATGCGCCTGGTGGAACGCAGACGGTGGAAGAGCCAGCTTACACCTTTATTCCTCCCAACCCGAGGTCCTTCTACAAAGCGTTCCTGCAGTATTGCATGACGTACGATCATCTGCATTCTGACCCTGCCCTGCCGTACGCGCCATTTTCGCCTCAGAGCATCGACCTCTTGATAGAGCTTTCCGTGTTCTGGCGACTTCCACAATTCACTAGGCTGATCGTTGTCATCGAAGTCGCGTCAAAGAGGTTTCTTGATGGTGAGATTGACATTGATCAACTCGCAGAAACACTAGAAATTGTCAAGGAGACGGCTTCAGATCACCGCAAAGCACCCGCATTGCAACATTATCCGGCTGGTCTTTCTCAAATCGACCGACAGCTCTGGACGGTGCAAGACTTTATCGTCTATCAACAGACTTTGCAGACCATCCACGACGCCCTGCTACGGGACCTGTTCAACCAGCTCAAGGAATGCTACGGGCAGAGCCCTCCCAACATTGCATCCATCATGAAGATCCTGGAGGACCACATCGAGGAGGACCCTGCCTTTGCTCCTAAGCAAGATCAACTCAGCGATTTCTCCAAGCAAGTGACGGAGGCTCTCCGCCAGTCAGCCCGGGACCTGTATCATGAGATTGTGCAGACCAAGCTTCCTGAAGATGCTGAATCGTGGCAGTTCTCCCATGTCATCGAAATGGGCAAGTTGGTCGTCCAGCGTGTGGCCAAGATGCAGAAGCGCTACCGAAGCATGTCCGAGATCAAGGGCGTGACACCGCTGCCTATCCTGGTCCAGACAATACTTCCGATATTCGAGCAGGACGCCGAGCACATTATCGGCAAGGCCATCCAGACTGCGCAAGCGGCTGGCTGCGAACTCGACATTGACGATGGGTTCGACCTCTACAGGGAGCTGATCAAGCTGCGTGAAAGCCACTACAAGTACCTCCCCGGTGTTGAATTTCACTTCGACATTGAAGGGCTTCTGCAGGAGTTCGTCTGGAGGTGGATCCGCGAAGCAGAGTCTAGAATGGAGGCTGGTGTCATCAATGCCATCAAGCTGGACGACTTCAGGGCGCTAGGAGACGACGGCGAGCGTCTGCCTTCCGACGCAGAGCGGCACAGCGCAAGTATAGCCGATTTGTTCCAGTTCTTCTCGGCACCAGTGACACAGATCGATCAGCTCGAATGGAGGAACGAAGAACATCACGCTCGCTTCATGACGGCGCTTGCGCACACCTTCGCCACCGGCATTGAGAAGTACTGCGAGGAGGTTGGACGGATATTCGCGGCCGACATGGAGCGACTCACACCGCAGGAGGAAGCCATGGCGTCGAGGACGACGCAGGAGAGGTTCATGCAGTACGCCAAGGAAGCATGGAACAACAAGGAGAAGCCGGAGCCCTACAACTTCAGTTCAAAGGTACGATCGCATGTCGTGTGCCTAGGGGAGCCGCACCTGCTAACATGAGTCCAGGCGTTTGTCATGCTCAACAATATCGAGTTTGCGAAGCAAAAACTCGACAAATTGGAGCACACGATGAACGTGGATCGATGCGCCGAAATCGTCCGAGCCATTGACGGGCCGAAGCAGCAGACTCGTCGGCCCAACAAATACAACTTTACCGTGAAGATTGTCGAGGCCGAGGATCTCAAGGCCTGCGATCCAAACGGCTTCAGCGACCCCTATGTGGTCCTGGTGGACGAGCGCCAGAAGCGCCTCCACAAGACCAGAGTCGTTCGAAAGAGCCTGAATCCTCGCTGGGACGAATCCAGGGACATCACCGTCACCGCGCCAATCACCATCATTGCCACGGTCTGGGACGATGACATGTTTGGGGATCACGACTTTGTGGGACGGACGTCTTTTAAGTTGGACCCCGTCCACTTCAGCGACTACATTCCCCGCGAGATCTGGCTCGACCTCGACACCCAGGGCAGGATACTGGTCAAGATTAGCATGGAAGGAGAGCGCGACGACATTGAGTTTCAGTTTGGCAAGGCGTTCCGGGACCTCAAGCGGACAGAACAGATCATGGTCCGCAAAATCACTGAAAAGGTAAGTTTGGTGTTGTCCGACTGGGTGAATCCCTACCCTGCTAACACCGCACGCAGCTTCGGGACCAGATCAACACAAGCCTCTCGCATGAGACCTTGCGGCGTCTGCTGGGCGGCGCAGGGCTCGGCGCGCAAGTCACAAGTCTGTGGAAGAAGAGGACATCCATCATGCCGACGGCGCCGTCCAAGGCGGTCATTGACGAGTCGCTTGATCCTCTGATGGATTACTTCCACGCCAACTTCACCATTATGAACCAGACGCTAACAAACGACACGATGCGCTCGGTCATGCTGCGGCTGTGGAAGGAAGTCCTCCTGGCAGTTGAGGCGCTCCTGGTGCCGCCGCTCTCGGACAAGCCCTCGGAGCAGCGGCCGCTCAGCCGCCTCGAGGTCGACATTGTCTACGGCTGGCTGCGCCAGCTCCTCGCCTTCTTCAACGCCAAGGACGAGGAGGGCAACGAGCTCGGCGTGCCGGAGAACGACCTGCGGTCGCCCAAGTGGCACGAGCTCGCGTCCCTCAACTTCTTCTACTTCGAGGACACGGTGACGCTCGTCCGCGAGTCGGAGCGCATGGCCGCGTCGAACGCGCAAAAGGTGCAAAAGGCGCTCGCGCAACAGGCGGGCGCGGCGCCGAACCGCCTCTCGGCGCCGCCCGTCATGGGCGCGCCGTCGGTCGCCGCCTTTGGCAGCATGGGCACCATCAAGCGCGGCAAGAGCATCATGATGAGCCGCAACCTCGGCACCATGCGCCGCGCCAAGGAGGAGAAGTGGAAGGAGGATCAGGCCGAGCCGAGCGACGACATGATCATGCGCATCCTCCGCATGCGGCCCGAGGCCGCCAACTACCTCAAGGAGCGGTCGCGCCAGAAGGAGCGCCAGTCGGCCCGCACCGCCGCCATGATGATTGTCAACAATAGCGTCTCGCAGGGCTGGGCCGCTGGCGGCGCCGGCGGCGCCCCGTACGCGAGGAATAACCTGCCTCGGCGGTGAGCACTGGCGAGCGAGCGAGCGTGCTAGGGCGCATCAGTGCAGTAATTTGAGCAGGGGACAGGGTGAAAATCGAGAGAAAGGAGACAGCGACAGAGAGAGGCAGCAGCGACGAGAGGGAGTGCAGAGCGCGTTACTCGGGCATTTACATCTGATACCCCCACCCCCTCCCCAACTTTATTCGAGTATGTTTTTCATCAAGTCGGAGGGTTTCTCTTTTTGTGTTCGGCTTCTGTTCCTTTCATGTTTCGGCCTCTTGGTAGACGCGGTTGGTAAACTTTGGGTGATCATGAGGACGCAAATGAGTGAACAAGGGAAATCAGCAAGATGAATATTAGCGAGAGTTTGATCACCAACTACATTGTCTTGTGTTTCCTTGAATTTGCTTTCGCCTCCCTTCCCGCGCATGATGATGAAGCGAAGTGTATAGGTTCCCACAGGGGGCCAGATCGACGGTGGCACTACGACACTGACTAGGCAGGATGTGTGTCAATGGCGGAGCCTTTCTGGACGATATGCGAAAAAAGGGACGACCGATAACATTAAGCTGGAAACTCAATTCCTTACTCGCGCTTGTGTCACTTTGAAACCGGCGATATAGGGCAGATCGTCTTAATAGAGTTCCCCGCAAGACAGCGCCCCACGGCAAGGGGAACCTCGGGGTCCGGGCTGCGTGACAACCGCATAGCACTCGGCGCGACATATCATGAGTCGGTTGGTGTTCGGCCGGTCGGCTGCCTCCCTCTCCCTCCGTGTCTTGTGGCATTGTCCCTCCGGACAGCAGGCCAGCCGGGTCACGCTGGTTCAGCACGCTGCGGCTGCATACAAGTAAGAGCAGGACCGAAATAGACAGGGACCGCAGTCAACGTCGCATCCATCACCCTGACACCCTCTTCCCCTTTCTCCCGAAGGTCGTTCCGTCGTCCATCCCGCGCCGCCCGCCCCCTCCGAGAGCATAGCGTCGCTCCACGTGGTAGCCGCGCCTCTGGCGCCGTGACATCGCTGCGAGGCCGGATGTGGATGGGAAACGGGCGGGTGGGCCGTTGTGTCGTGCTCTTTCAGGACTTGTGAAACGGGGTGGATTCCCTTGTTCGACAGTACGTACGCAGGCAGGTTGGTGGGGAAAGGTGGGGGGTGCCATTCCCAGTCAGTAAATGTCCTCGGCGTTTCGGGAATTACTGCTTCGCTTGTACCATGTATTCCAGGAGGAAGAAGAGGGGCACTTGCTTTTCCTTACTTTTCCCACGGTCAGGCGAGTGAGTTGATTGATGTGCAAAACGTTCGTCAGCTCGGTCAGCGGCTGGCGAGTCAGGGCCGCCGGTCACCATCCATTCTCTCTCGGATCCCCTCCGTGGAGACGGGAAGGTGGCCACACACCGCTGAAAAGGCAAACGAATGTCGTGGTCACGGGGGTGCCCCCCTAGTTCACATGTTGAAACCATGGAGCGGAGAGGGCTCGATGTGAACAACCCTTGACGGCAATTGCCAACGTATTCAGACCTCAAGTGCAAGGCAAGAAGAGCATTGAATACCTGCCTGCCTGCCTGCCTACCTGCCGCGAGGCCCGAGGAGATTTGCGAAATGTGACAACTTTTCGTCAGCGGGCGAGACGTGCCGGGTAGGCGGGCAAGCGGACAGTTCAGATACACGCTTATTGCGGTGGCGACGTCGCTGACGTGGGGCCCTGTGGTGGTTTTTTCCGTCGCTCTCGACTGGCAGGTTCCGAGACCCGTTGTCGTAAATCAGGGTCCTGGCCTGGATCCCGGAGCGTAGACATGGTATTGGATGAGTTGTCTGGGCTGTCGGCATGGTCAGACCTGTCAGGAGGCAGTCCCGGGTAGTGAGGTGCGAGATATCTGTAGCCAGGTGCTGCCCTCTTGGCACTAGGCGACGTTGAACTAGGCGACGTTGAGCAAAGTCCCTTGCTGCTCCCATTCAGAAGAGATTATTGGCACGGTCCTCGTGGGCAGGAAACCTTAACGCTGGACACGTTGCACTGACGGCCGGCACCGCCACGAGTCGTAGACGCATGGCATCCGGCAGCCACATCGTGCAGAATCAAGGAAGATGGGCATGTGAGCATCTCGATGCTACCTGCACGGCGGTGATGCTGTCTCGCATGGCGGCTCGATCCCCCTCCCCAATGTTGCTGCGGGTCGGCACAGCTCGCTCTGTCCGGCTCAGGGGGAGCTGTGTGCTATTTCGAGCGAAATCAAGGCCGGTCGTCAAGAGCGCGGTGGAAATACCCACACGTCTAGCTCAGACACGTCTAGCTCGGAATTTCAGACGGCGTTTGTTGACCCTTCAATAAGTTCCGCAAGGGGGTCGAAAAAGATTGAGATGGGCCGATGGTGGCAGCCCCAGCGCTAGCGGTTCGGCGGCTAAGGGGAGGTGGGCTGCATTAGCGACCCGTGGAGTTGCGGCTACAACGGCGGCGTCCAGCACTTGGGGAGACAACTATCGGTGCAGGCGTTATGGGATGCCGAATGAATGATAAATGGTGCACAACGGAGTCAGCGATGAGGAGACCATTCGGGTTTCGTCTTTTGCAGAGGGCCACGAATGCTGGTGGGGTGATGTTGTGTTGAGCAAGAGTTCCCATGGCCGCCCAACGACTGGTCAGGCCGTTCCGCTGTCGATTATACAAGCAGGCACGAAGATCGTAGCGGGAAGGAGCCCTGCACTCGGCACCTGCCATTGGGTTCGGTGGAACAACATCGCCTCCACGTGCATCCCAGGACACCGGAAGATGGCATAAGCCTTCTGTGGCGCAGCAATCCGGCTGGCGACAGGAATTCGGGTTTCTCCATTCACAACCTCTATCTGTCGACCAAAAGGGACCGAAAGTAACTCTGTTAAGGGGGGGGGGTTGCTGATCGACCTGTCGTGATTTGTCAATGGGGATCGGCCTTTTGAACCGAGGAGGGGTGGAAGACGGGCTGCTGTGGTGCGCCCAATCAAGCCGGTCAGTAAGGTAGTCAAAGGGACAGGCTGGTGGATTGCCTTGCTGGCGGCCAGGAACCCCTTGAGCCGTCAGCCATCTGTCGCATCGATGTACGCCCGCATCTTAGGGGCGGGGGCTGTTTGGGCATCGTTGTGATGGATGACTGAAGGTGAGGTCGATAGCGTCGAGGTAGTTAATTAGAGTGCTGGGTGGGATTACGAAGCGTGAGGCGCTCTGCTCGGGAATGGCAGGGGCGCATGCTACAGTGATTTGGCGGGGATGAAGGCACTGTCAGAGGACCACCTGCGGCATGCTACGAAGGGGGGACCTGACAAGTTACTCCTCACAGTGCCATCTCGCGCGGAATCTCGTCTTGCATCGCAGGACCACGCCACGCTGGCCGGGGTCTGGGTTGATGAGCAGGAGCACTAACCTCCTTCGAGATGTGGTCGAGGGCCCTGGCAATTGTCGAGTTACAGATTGGGCGACCCCAAGCACCTTACCTTACTGGTACATGTGGAGATGCTTGATCGCAGCCTTCCATCCGACGATCAAGGGATGCATGGATGGATGCGTGAAGCGGCAGGCGACCTGATTTGCGCTTGCTCAGCATAATGTAAGGTAGGTAAGGTAGGTAGGTAGGTGGGTAGCAAGAAGCTTTTCTTTGACAGGCAAGCAGGCGTAACCTCGACCGCCAGGCAAATGGCACATCTGGCCAGTAGGGCGAGGCTGGTCGAGGCAAGTCCTCGGGAAGGCCGCAGATCCATTCCCCTCCGGCAGGACCAAGACTCGTCACGGGAACGTCTGAGAGGCCGAGGAAGACAAAGCACAACGAGGCCTCCCCCATTCGCCATTGGACATGCACTCATGCATCCATCCATCCCCCTGATCCTGACACCCTCGCTCGTGGAAGCAGGAGGCCTGTGCTTCGCTTCGGGGGTTTGGTTTGGGCACTGGTAGGGTTCTCAGGGCTAAACGATCCGATCAGCAACAAGCAGGCCCTTTGTATTGGCCACCGTGACGATGCTTACCAAATACCTACCAAAATGTAGACGTGAAAAGTAAAAAAGGAAGAAGAGGAGAGAGAATGCCGGCCAGAGGAGAAGGAAAGCTTGGCAGTACATGGTACAATTTAGCAATGCTGGGTCCATCAAGGACAGCATACGAGGAGATTGAACGAGGACAGGGGCTCTCCGCCCGAGTCGCTGCTGTGGACAAGAACTACAGCGGGCGAAGTTGAGCAAGAAAAATAAAAGAAAGAGGCCAGAGGCTCGCCCACCAGCAACGAAACGGTTGACACTAGGCCTAACCGAGTCATCCAGGCCCCTCTCAGACTTGGCGCCGCGGATGCCAAGGCCTGTCCACTCCACATCCGCGCCGGTCGCCAATGGACGCCCCCCTCCATCTCTCTTGTCTCCTCGATTCCCCCTCCTACCGTCTGTCCCGCCTCATCCCATCACCCATCACCAATCCCTTGCCCTTGCCTTTGCCTTTGCCTGCTATTCACCCACCACCCGCTATCCTCTCATCCAGAGGTACCTACCCATCCTTCCCAAGCCTCCAAGCCTTCCACAACCCCATGCTTCCCCCCTGTCGTTCGTTGGCTGTCAAGGCTACCGTATCCGCCTCATCCATCGCCCAACAACACTTCCTCCCGCCCACCACCCAGCCAGCGCTCAGCACCTAGGTCATCCCTAGTAAACGCCTCCCCTCCCCCCCAGTATGTACCTTTATTACCTTGAAAGCTAAGGCACCTTACCCTGTACACACGCTACTCTGCGCCCTGACACGCTCTGTCTTGTCCCTCCTCGTGTCCATCTTTACCCTCCTTTTTTTCCGGCATCCTCCTCCACTTTATTCCTGACCTACCCATCTTGTCGACCTTACCTAAAGGATCTCGCCCGCCTGCGGCACATCACACCCCCTACAACTCCCCTCCCCAACCATCGACCGACCACCTCAACTACCTATTCGCAGTGTCGCCTTTTTTTTTTCTTTTCGCTAGCACTGACACGGTTCACTGAGACTTCGTGGTACTTTGCTCTGGGGACCGGCGACAAGACGCTCGTGTCTGCCAACATCGAATCGCGTTCCTCGCACGCTCCGTCGTTGCGATCGACCTGCTCACGAAGCTACTATGCTGTGGTTCTCCCTCAACTTTTGATCGACACGACGCTGGCTTCTGAAGAACACACTCACACAATCGCGCTTCTCTCCAGGGGAGAGCAGGTGCCCTACCGAACGACATCACTCGACCTTTCGAGACGGTTCACACAAGATCGACCTTTCGCCGCCATAGCCTAACCACGACCCTTCTACCTCGCAGCCCCAATCCCGACAATGGTCGACGATTCAGCCTTGGCCGCTGCGGCGGCCATCGTGCAGTCTTTTGCCGCCGACGGAAGCACCCCCATGTCTCTTCCCTTCCGGAAGGACACGACGAGAATCGAGCTTCCCGGCCGCGACACACCTGCCAAGCGCAGCCTCGAGCTCGAACTCGCCAAACTCGCCCAGAGAATCGATAAGCTTGAGAATCGCGCCCACTCGGCCCCTACAGCCTTTCCAGAGACCCCCAACGAGGTCAACGACTCTCTCTTCGGAGATGACCCGACTGGCACGTTCCCCTCCCTCGGCGGCCGAGTTCTGTCGCGACCCCAGTTGCAACGAGAAGGTACACAGGCTGATTCTGGGAGTGCAGGCAGCCCGCTGACTGACGAAGCTCTCGAGAGCCTCCAAGAGAAGGTTCTCGACCAGGAGAAGGGTATTTCTAGCGCCAGGGAAGAGATCACCAGCGTCAGCGCCCAGCTGCTCGAACAGAAGGAACTGCAAGAGCAGGCGTTCTCTAGGATCGAGCAGGACCGCGTCGCTAGGCTCGAGCGCGAACTATGGAAACACCAAAAGGCCAACGAGGCCTTCCAGAAGGCTCTCCGAGAAATCGGCGAGATTGTCACTGCCGTCGCTCGTGGTGACCTCTCCAAGAAGGTCCGCATGAACTCTGTCGAGATGGACCCCGAAATTACGACCTTCAAGAGGACGATCAACACCATGATGGACCCCGCTTCAAGTCTTCTCCCAGCCAAGTATCTCGAGTCGCCCGTGAAGTCGGGCACCCGAAAGTCTTACTCGGGTGGCCAGGGCCCGCATCGAGGGTGTCGACGGCACCTGGAAAGGAGCTTACAGAAAATGGTGCGCTCGGCCAGACTCACTCTCGCGGAAGAACTACCTTTGCTAACGATGCCGCAGTCAACGTTATGGCCCAGAACCTTACCGACCAAGGTAAATACCCCTCTCGCTCTTTCTTCTCACTTCTGCTGTAGACCCTCTTGGCTGACCTGCTTCTTCAGTGCGCGAAATCGCGTCTGTCACTACAGCCGTCGCCTATGGTGACCTAACAAAGAAGATTGAACGGCCCGCGCGTGGAGAAATCTTGCAGTTGCAACAAACCATCAACACCATGGTGGACCAGCTGCGAACCTTTGCCTCAGAGGTCACGCGTGTCGCTCGCGATGTCGGAACGGAAGGTATGCTGGGTGGTCAGGCTGACGTTGAAGGCGTCAAGGGCATGTGGAATGAACTCACCGTCAACGTCAACGCCATGGCGAATAATCTTACGACGCAAGTGCGAGACATCATTGAAGTCACGACTGCTGTAGCCAAGGGTGATCTTACGCAAAAGGTTCAGGCCGACTGCAGGGGCGAAATCTTTGAGCTCAAGTCCACAATCAACTCCATGGTCGACCAACTGCAGCAGTTTGCTCGCGAGGTCACCAAGATCGCGAGAGAGGTCGGAACTGAAGGAAGACTGGGTGGGCAGGCTACTGTGCACGATGTTGAGGGCACCTGGAAGGATCTCACCGAGAACGTCAACGGCATGGCCATGAACCTGACGACTCAGGTGCGAGAGATCGCCCGAATCACGACAGCCGTCGCCAAGGGCGATCTTACCAAGAAGATCGGCGTGCCCGCTCAGGGTGAGATCCTTGATCTCAAGAACACAATCAACACCATGGTGGACCGCCTCGGCACCTTTGCCTTCGAGGTCAGCAAGGTCGCTCGTGAGGTCGGCACAGACGGCACGCTCGGTGGACAGGCGCAAGTCAACAATGTCGAGGGTAAATGGAAGGACCTTACAGAGAACGTCAACACGATGGCGTCCAACCTGACATTACAGGTTTGTCGAATGCACCCAAATATTGAACCTCGCCCACCTGCTAACTGATGCAAAGGTCCGAGGTATTTCTACCGTCACACAAGCCATTGCGAATGGCAGGATGAGTCAGAAAATTGAAGTTGAGGCTTCGGGAGAGTTCCTGGTCCTCAAAGAGACGATCAACAACATGGTTGATCGTCTTTCCAATTTCTGCAACGAAGTTCAACGAGTCGCTCGAGATGTCGGTGTCGACGGCAAGATGGGAGCCCAAGCCGACGTTGCTGGACTCAACGGTCGCTGGAAGGAGATCACTTCGGACGTCAACACCATGGCTAGCAACTTGGTAGGCACCTCCACCGTCCTGCAGATCTTCCCTACCATGGCTGAACTAACATGCGCAGACCACACAAGTGCGAGCCTTCTCCGACATCACGAACCTTGCTACCGACGGTGATTTCACAAAACTAGTCGAAGTTGAGGCGTCCGGTGAAATGGACGAGCTCAAGCGCAAGATCAACCAGATGGTGTCCAATCTGCGAGACAGTATTCAAAGAAACACCCAGGCAAGGGAAGCTGCAGAGCTCGCCAACAAGACAAAGTCGGAGTTCCTCGCCAACATGTCGCACGAGATTCGAACGCCCATGAACGGCATCATCGGCATGACCCAGCTGACCTTGGACACTGACCTGACGCAATACCAGCGTGAGATGCTGAATATCGTCAACAGTTTGGCTAATAGTTTGTTGACTATTATCGACGACATTTTGGATCTGTCCAAGATCGAGGCGAGGAGGATGGTCATTGAAGAGATTCCCTACACACTCCGCGGCACCGTCTTCAATGCCCTGAAGACCCTAGCCGTGAAGGCCAACGAAAAGTACTTGGACCTCACGTACAAGGTCGACAGCTCCGTTCCGGATTATGTTATTGGCGATTCTTTCCGTCTGCGACAGATCATTCTCAACCTGGTCGGGAACGCGATCAAATTTACCGAGCATGGTGAAGTCAGCCTTACGATCAAGAAGGCCGATGAGCTCAAGTTCCCCTGCGGCCCCAACCAGTACGCAATCGAGTTTGTTGTGACGGACACCGGTATTGGTATTGCCGCCGACAAGTTAGATCTCATCTTCGACACCTTCCAGCAAGCCGACGGATCGATGACCCGCAAGTTCGGTGGCACCGGACTTGGCCTGTCCATCTCCAAGCGGCTGGTTAAGCTCATGGGCGGTGATCTGTGGGTGAAGAGCAACCACGGCAAGGGCAGCGCATTCCACTTTACCTGCAAGGTCCGCCTGTGCGACGTTGGTTTCGAGTCGATCGAGAAGCAGATCAAGCCGTACAAGGGCCACCAAGTCCTTTTCGTGGATAAGACGCAGACGGCTTACGGTATGGAAATTCGCGACATGCTTGGCGCCATTGGTCTCATTCCCGTTGTTGTCGATTCCGAGAAGAGCCCCTCCCTGGACAGGGTCCGCGGTATGGCCGCCGCGTCCATGCCTTACGATGTCATCATTGTCGACTCCATCGACACTGCGAGGAGACTTCGCTCGGTGGACGACTTCAAATATCTCCCCATCGTTCTCTTGGCCCCCATCGTCAATGTCAGGATGAAGGCGTGCTTGGACCTTGGCATTACATCCTACATGACCACGCCTTGCAAAGCTGTCGACCTTGGCAACGGAATGATCCCGGCTCTTGAGAACCGTGCGACGCCTTCGTTGGCAGACAACACCAAGTCGTTTGAGATTTTGCTGGCGGAAGACAACCGAGTCAACCAGCGTCTGGCCGTCAAGATTCTCGAGAAGTACCACCACGTTGTCACGGTCGTTGGTAACGGTCACGAGGCTGTCGAAGCCATCAAGCGAAAGAGGTTCGACGTCATCCTCATGGACGTGCAGATGCCCATCATGGGAGGTTTCGAGGCCACTGGCAAGATCAGAGACTACGAACGCGAGGCCGGCTCTCACCGAACGCCCATTATTGCCCTCACGGCACACGCCATGATGGGTGATCGTGAGAAGTGCATCCAGGCTCAGATGGACGAGTACCTGTCGAAGCCGCTTCAACAGAACCACCTTATCCAGACGATTCTCAAGTGCGCAACCCTCGGTGGGCAGCTCCTCGAGAAGAACCGCGAGCGAGACCAGCCGCACAAGAAGGAGGACGCCGATAAGAAGACGGATGATTCTAGCTCAAGCCTCCGGCCTTCGCTGGAGACCCGTGCTTTCACGTCTAGGGACCCGCTGGTAGGACAGGGTCTCGACAGCCCGGCCTTGGTGACTGCGGACCAGGAGGATCCCATCTCGAGAGTAAGTTTTGGCTACCGACCTCGCACGTGTGACTGCTGTGCTAATCGTTTCTCAGTTTCACTCGATGAGGTCTCACAGCACCTAGGATGAGGCGTCGCGAAGAGAAAAGCGCAAGTGGCCTTACGAACACGTCAGCTCCCCTGACGAAGAAAAGGCGCCCAGCAAACAACCACGGCTTTGATCCTGGTACGGTCTGTTTGGCATGACAATATCTTTATACCAACCAGACCAGGGCCTTGGCACTTCAAGCTACTCTTCGCGGCACCACGAACACCAACATGAAAGCCTTGCGCGCTCGATGTCTTCCACCGTGTGGTGAACGTCGAAAAGCCGGCCATGTTGAAAACGAATCAAACTGGTCTTCTCTTGAAACCATGCTTTTGTCCAAAAGCAACCTACAAACCCTTCACCTCTCCTCCCATCCCAGATTTGCCCACAAGAGCGCGACATGGCAGCCCTCCGGCCGCCATGGCCGACTTGTCGAATGAAGCATTAGCGCTTGCTTGGTCCCTTTGCCCTTCCCAGTTTCCGCATACCAGGATGTTTTGCGTACGAGACGGAATATGGTCCGGAACATACAAACGAGTACAGTCCGGCTGGGCTGACTGCGAGTCACGGTCGTCCGCACGGGTACGGCTCTATTCGTACATGAAGCATCACGTACCGCCCGCGAGCAAGACGAAACAACACGCATCCGCATCGCGTTGATTTTGTCTGTGGTTCTCGTTGTATCTCTTATTTTTCCTTGTAATTATTCTTCCGTCCAAGGAACAACCCTCTGTCTCTGTGTATGCTGGCTGCTTGCGGCGGTCGTGCTGTGGGACCCAGACGCGGTTCTCTTGGGGTTTCTGTTTCTCTCGTTCCGGTCACTGCTCGGGTTTCATTGCTATGGTGGGATGTTTTGCTTTCCTCTTTTCTACTGACGGTGAACGAGTATTTGACCCCGCCTTTTCCTTTGAGGGAATCGAGGCAGGTGGCATGCAAAGGATGAAAGGGAGACGACGTGGGGAAAGGGAGGGTTTGGCTACCTATGAACTCTCTTTCGCCCAAGTTATGGACCTTGCGTTGGTGGGACGGAATTAGGTTCTCATGGTTGGCGTCTTGAGGGACTTGTCTTTTGTTCTTCTTCTTCTCTAACAACAAACCATATATCCCAGCCACGTACGAGGCTGTTTCTACCGTCTTGATCTTGTCGTGTGAGATGCACGTGCTGCTGTTCAAACTGCTTGTGATGCTCGCGGGTGGGACTCGGTGATCTGGTGGCATGGTCTGCCGGGTTGTGGACCACACTTTCTCGGGCGACATCAGAAGACGAAAGTATTCCTGACCACGGTGCTTTTCGCAATGTTGTACTATCCTGACCAAACTTGGATAGACTAGGAGATGACGAAAAGGACGATCGAACCGGACCAGACCGCGCAAAGCGCTTCCTCGTCGTTCAGGTAATTATCGAGCCAACCGCAACGACGCGCCACTATGCTGTCCCCATCGTCAAAGTCCTATCAGCGCGGCGGCGGCGGCACGAAACATGCATTCCCACCCCAACACTCGTCTTCTTGTTGTCAAAGCCGCAGCGTGCAGCTATTCCAGTCCGAGGCAAACGCCTCTTTCAATTCCATCTTCTTCGGCAGAAGCTCCAGCATACCGCGAGAGACTGCGTAGTCACCCCAACGGCCGCATCTTCGCAGTCGAAACACCGCCAGCCGCCGCCGTGGCCTTTGATCTTGCCTCTATGCAACCCACAGGGCATCAGCACCCAAACTGAACATGCCAACATGACACTCCGTCGTCCACGTATGGCCCCTCCACTCTGTTTGGCGGCACATTCCAGCCTGGGTATCGAGGGGTTTGTACCCCCCGATCCCCAGTTTGTCTAGGAACCCTCAAGATCGAGATAGACAACCCCAAACAAAACCTCAATTCGCCAGAGACATATACGTTGGCAGATGTTCTCTCTTGCTTCATGTTCTTGTTTTTTATTTCTTTCTTTTTTCCTCTTGCCACTTGCTGCGAGCTGCGCATACTCGACCTCGGCGATGCGACGACCGCTCCTTCTCCCCACCCACCCCACTCCTCCCTCCCTTGCAACAGCCACAGCATCAAAACTGACACACAGACAAGTCTAGAGCCAGCCTCAAGCGTCGTTAGCTCAGTGTTGCGGGGTCGTCGAGGACCCTGAATCTTGTCCTCCTTCATCCGGGGCTATGAGGCAGGGTCGTAGACAAGACAAGGGCGGAAACGCATGCCCGCAGCGCCACACACAGGTGTGGTGTCCAAAAGAAACGATGCGTCAGGTTCTAGAATTCACATCCTGTCTACCATGGCAATCTCGAATGTCCATCGCTTCGCGCCCTCGCTCATACGACACGAAGACAACATGGAGCGGCAAGGACCGGAACCGGGACCAAAAAGAAACAGAGCCCGGCAAGACCATCTTGGCCCGTCTATCACATCAAGCTGGAAAGACGTCAAGACGGCGATAGGGCACCGATGTGCATGGTCTGGCGTTCAGGTGATCAGGGACTCAACTCCTCCCCCACCGATCGTCGTTTACATAAGAGTGCTAGGGCTGTGTGTAAAAAAAGGGGACTACTCAACAAGCCACGGGCCCGAACATGAGAGGCTACTGAGCAAGCTGCATATTCGGACCCATAAGGCAGCTACAGCCTCCTTCCCCGCCACCATCTCGATATCCCATATCGTGACAAGGGAAGAGAGAGAGATGGCTCCCTGTTTTCCCCTGCGGCACCCCTGGCTCTCGCGACCCGGGCCGTTGGTGGCCGACGATCCTGCCTCTTCTCGACTCCAGATCCCCACAGCTGAAGGGATGCATTCGGGCCTCAACAGCGATGCTTGTCTTGTTCCATACTGTCCCTCCGTGCTGCACGATAATCATCATGGGGACATCTAGCCCAGAACTCACTTCTCAGCGGGACCCTTGCCGCCCGAGGAGGCATTCCGCAGCTCGTCAGTCTCGAAACCGGCCAGCAGCTCGTCGAGCCTGCTTTCCAGCTTTGCAAGGTTGGCTTCGAGGGCCGTGGCGGCCTGTTCACCCCTACAAGAAAAAGCAAAGAAGGAACTAGTCAGTCGCAGGGTCTTTGAATGAGTTGAGTGACACACGTGAGGGTAAGTCGGGGTTGAAGGCATCAGAAGCCAGACTACAAGTCCGGGCGGGAAGACCCTGATTTCCTTGGCGGCGCGCGCAAGTGGTACACTCCAAAGATAGCCGCTTGGCTATCGAGGGCGAGACCGTGGGGTCCGGGCACGATGCTCGGCCCGCCTCTACACTCGTGCAGGACGCGACATTGCTCTCATATATAAGCACATAAGGCGCCGAAAGCCAAGGGTGCGCTCCTGCCCCCATGGCCAGCGCGTAGGGCGGTGCGCAGGGAGGGGAATGGCGGCTTTCGTCTGATATTGAAGAGGAACATGCTCTGGACCAGATATGCGATTCATGGTCTAGAACATCGGGGACCTCGCGCATTGGTGGCACGCGCCACATCACATATGCGGTCCGCCTCACACAAGTGGCCTCCGCCTTACACCGCCGCTAGTGTGCTGTGAAGCTATCGGCGGGAGGGGAGCGACCACAAGATAGCTGCGAATGCCAGAGGGTTCGGATCTTCTGGGCGACCGAAAGACGAGATCCCTGGGAAGCTGAGGGACAGACAGCACGCACCGCCGAATGTCCTTGGCGCAGCGGTTCAGGACGTACAGGACCCAGTGCTAATGCCGATGCTGAATCAAGTAGCAGCGAGGCTATGCGCCATGTCGACGAGCTCTTGTTGCGACTGAGTCGAATCTGCTGACCCAGACTGAAGCAGTCATAGGGCGAAATTGACAAAACCCATGGCGAGGCAGGGGTTTGTGACCATCGCTTGGCAGGCTTGTTCTGACAACGATCGACAGGGTCGGATGGAGAAAGCCAAGGACTTGGAACGGGAAGGAACAGGAAGATCACCAAAGGGGTTCTTCCAGCGCCCTCACTCCAAGCAAAGGGGCTTACATGTCCATGGTGGCCCGAGGTCGCATCCAACCCGAGGGGCCGTGTGAACGTCTAGACCAGCGACATGGGAGAAGACAGAATGGCCATCTCGTAGGCCCCATGAAGCGGAAAAGGCGAATTGTAATTTGGCATGGGCAAACGCCATTTCGGGAGCATCCAGACCCGTGGCAAACTGCAGTTTCCCATGTCTGAAATGCAGCTGACCTAGGCCCCGCCGGATGCGAAAAAAAAAAAAGGTTTAGGATGGGACAGGCGATGGGCGTTCTAGGCATTGTCGTGAAAACCGATATTCCAAGCATCGACGAAAGAATACGAAGCCGCGATGGATTGAAGGGGGGTGTGGTCTGTGGTGGCAAACAGGGGGGGGGGGCGTGGTGCAGCCGCTTGGGTCGGTGCCTGCAGCGCCCCCTATTCGGGCTGTTTGTGTTTGTGAAGCTTGGTGTTCAGTCCAGCAGCGGCAGACCACCTA